CAGGTCTGCCCCCACGCCGCCCTTGCTCAGGGGCTTGCAGGCATCTGCTGCCCTTAATGTATTAGTACAGGTCTAAAGCTTCCAGCCCTTAATACCCGCTTGATCAGAGCCCTTGGTATTAAAAATCAGAACTGGGATCAAATTAGCTTCAGAACAAATCCAAGGGACCTTTCCCTTTTCATAACGTGTGTCCTGAGAGCCTCTCCAGCGTGCGGATAAACTGCCAGTTTATCAGTCTACACGCTGATAGACGTGCGTGTTCTCTAGCAGCTGGTCTCTTGGTGCAATTTAACATCAGACTTTACTTCTCCAGACTCCAAAAGCCGATATGTGCTCAAAGCTCGGGATGGATTTGAAGCGAACAATGCTGCTGCGACTTGCACGGCGGGATCCTAAATTGCATCCCGATGATCCAGCCAGAAGAGAGGCGATCTATAATAAGTACCAGGTGGGTGCCTGACCTGCAGTTCTTGCCCTGGTGTCTGCGGTGGTGTTTGCTGGTTATCCAGACTGATAATGCCCTGATCACCCTGTTGCAGCACAGACCAGTGTTAATGCTTCTGTGTTTAGGGTTAAGGGTATGGGCAGAGAAGATTTAAACGTTGTTTGTCAGGTTTTTCTTGTCTTTCTGTGGGCTGCTAATTTCTGTACTGATCATTTAGGAAGACAAAAGCCTTTTTTTTTGCTGTGATCGAGGTCAGTGAGGGTCTGCAATAAGCAGTGGTAGGAGCTGGCACTGCTGACAGCAGCAAGAATTTGTACTAATGCTGCCGCAAGGAGCCCAGACTGCCTGTGTGCAGTTTGGTTTTGTGCAGGTGGGGGCGGTTGCCAGCATAGAAACACCTCCAGCATCCACGGTCTGTGGAGTTGTGCTGAGAAACAGCCCCAGAACTACACAAAGGAGAGGCACAGCAGCGGACAGAGGAAGCAGGACCCTGGTGAAGGGAAAAGGAGAGAAGGGAAGTGGACTTTGGTTGCCAGAAATGAGGCAACAGTGTTTTAAGGTTTATCCATAGTAACATTCCTACCGATCGCGTGTTTGTGTGAGTTGGGCATAGAGAGGATTTGCGTCTTAATCACCTGGAAAGACTGTACCGCCTGCTCCTTCTTTTATCACAGGAATTTGTGATCCCAGAAGAGGAAGCTGAATGGGTTGGCTTGAGTTTAGAAGAAGCAATAGAAAAACAGAGGCTCCTAGAAAAAAAGGTGAGTTCCTGAGGCAGTGCTTAGCACCGAGGTGTCTTAGCTGCATCAGGCTGCACGTCCAGCTGATCTGAGCACTCCTCAGCGGTCGAAGTGGTGCTCTGAAACTCCTGAGCAGCCACATGAGCCCAGTTAAATTTGGGTGCCCAAAACATGGGGCTGAGTTAAAGCACATTGTAAAACCAGATCCCCCAATCAGGGGAGAGATATTTAGAGGGGTGGCTCATAACTCCTGCCCCATTGCATGAACATCTTTGCCTTTGGTTGCCTTCTGCTATATACTTGTGCTTTGAGACGGGTGGGTACAAGCTCAGGGCTTGCTCAGTTTGTGACCCTCTGTCGCTGCAGCTCGCTTGTTAGAAGCAATATGCAGAGGAGGGTGCACCAGAGAGCTGCTGGGGCAAAAGGGCTTCCTGGGCTGGTGGGGTCCCTGGTGACGTTTCCCCCAGACCTGTTGGCTCCTGTTGCGGCTGCAGCAGGGATGGAAGGGTCAGGAGTGCTGACTGCGTGAAGCGGTGCTGGGCCCTGTGGGGTCCAGCTTCTTCAAGGAGTGTGTTCACCCAACGTGGCTTCAGTATAGCTCTGATTTAGGGCAATGTGAGGAGGGAGGCAAGCATTTTTAGGAGAAAAGGGATCCCTGGGAGCTACTGGTGGTTCTCGAATGCAGGCAGCACTGGGAAAGCTGGTGAATGTCCCACACAGGTGCCTATCATGTTTGAGGCAAGGTTACAGAGCTGAGCAGCAGCTGTGTCTGGAGGAGTAGTATAGCAGGTTGTCTTGTTCAGCCGCTGAAAGAAACCTGGCCCATCTTCCTCTAGTTTTAACTGTTAACGCTTCCGCAGCACTGGCTCCTTGGGCTATCCATTAGACTTCACCCCTTGCTGCTGCTCAGGTTCACTCCTTTTAAGTGGTTTACCCTCTGCTTGGTTTCAGGACCCTGTCCCACTCTTTAAGGTGTATGCTGAAGAGCTCGTCAACCAGCTGAAAGAACAGGCACTGCAGAAGCAGTAGAAAGAAAGAAACCTTTGGAGCAAAACCCCTGCTGCAGATCAAGCTGTGGGGTTCAGTGAGTCTTCTGTCTGAACCACGTTGTGTGGAAGGGGCCACGTGAAGAGCATGCCCAGGAGCATGTTGCAGTTGCTGAAGTCTAATGACAGCCTAAATGCAGTGAGGAACTGTTCCTGCAGGCTGAGGGAAGAATTTCTGTCCTGTGGCCTCTGAAAGCATTTTTGTAAGGCTGACATAATGTGGTTCTTCTGCCTGTACAAGTAGTTGGCTGCTGTTGAAAACTTGATCACGGTATAAAATGAAATATGCATTTTGGGAATATCAGTAAACTTTTCTCTGATACTCATTGCTCGTTAGTGTATTCTAGCAGGGACTGTGAGACATGGTGGTGTGACTTAGATCAGTCCCCAGCCTTCTGCAGCAGAGACGATTGTGCCCTGAAAGCGTGACCCCAAACCCCTGCCTCAGGCGGTGCCTGCCAGCAGGTGGGGCTGAGCTCCCTGGCCGCAGTCGCTGGCCGTACACCTCACTCTAACCCCTTGGGTTCCAGCACTGGTTTTGTTTGAAGTTGGTGATTTTTAGATCTTTTATTTTGTAAAAATGTAGTTGAGGTGGGTGTTCAAGCCTTTGCTCCTGTCTGGCAACAAGGGACTGAAAAGCACTTACCAGAATTACACGCTAGTGAACAGCGCTGTGCACCACTGGTGTCTTCATGGTCCTGCAGTGGGTTTCTTGCTGCAGAAAAAGCAGCCTCTCCTCCCTTTCCCTTCAGCTCTGAGGTGTGAGGGACAAGCACAGAGCTTGCAGGAAGGACCTCGTGCGAGCCCTATCTCTGAATTGTCACCCCAGGAAGAGACTTTGCCTTAACCTTGCCTTGGGATGAGACGTGCTCCCGCTCTCTGGCACATGAGGGCAAGTGTACGATCTCGGTTTCTGAGCCCCAGGACCTGTGGTAAGAGAGAAACTGGGCTTGTAGAGCAGTGTGTGGCTGGTCCCCTCAGCACTGGAATGCAGTAGGACCACAGGGGAGCAGAAATTCCCAGTGCCTTAACGTCTGCTTTAAAGACTTGGGAGAGAGGTGCTGTGGGGGTGGTTGCTGGGTAGGCACAGAGCCTCTGCAGGGCTGTGCTAGGTGGCTGGGATGAGGGAGGTGATTGCGGTGAACATGACCTAAATGGTGGCGTTTCAGGAAGACTTCTCTGCTGCCTTTTGGGCCAGGGAATGGGGTTGGAGCCCTCACAAGGGGTGTTTGAGTCCCCAGGTGAGTGTGGCACAGCTGCGCAGCCCCAGGCTGGTTGGTCGGGGGCTGCCAGACTGGGGCTGTGCTGGCTCTGCACGGGGGCAGGAGGCTCAGCACTGCAGGGGACAGGCTGGGTGGCAAAAGCTAGGACGTTTCCAGCCTTGCTGTATGTCTCAGCTCCGGCAAGTCCAGGTTCTCAAGAGCAAACTGGCACAGAAGGTTGCATTTGCCTAATTAATGATTTTGTAGCTAGGCCAGCACAATGACATTTGCTTATCTTCTCCCTCTTCTGCAACTGAGCTGAGTGGGAAGCTGCTGCCCAGCTCCTCGGGGACCCTGACACTCTGCCCTCATTAGAGATAATTAGCTGGGACAAGCTCCTTGTTTGACAGCTCTGCTCATCATTAGGGCTAGCACAGCTCATGCATTTTAATGCAGCTCTGAGCAAAGCTCCAGACTGTGGCTCTGTCCTGGCCCCTCCCCGTAGCTTTACTGGAATGTGCCGGTGCGGGTCTGGCCTCTCAGGCCCGGTGCAGCTATGGCAGAGCGTGGCTGGCGCCTGCCCGGATCCTGCTCTCAGCTCTGGGGGGGTCCCCGGGTCCCTCACAGCGCCTCTGCGGTGAGGGGCCTGTGTGGGATGGCCGAGTGGGCGATTATCAGCTGCTCGTCTGTACTGGGGGCTAGCTTTAGTTATGTACAATTATCTTCCGGCTGTGCGGTGCCGAGTCTCTCGGGGGAGAGCTTTGGCTGTACGTCCTCTCCAGCTGCACTGCTGGTGTTGCCTGTCCTTGAAGTTGACTCTGTTCTTCAGCGCTGCTCATGGTGCGTGCCCGGTCTGCAGGATCTGCTGCCTGGGGAAGGTTTGGTGGGTGCCGAGGGGTAGCGGGAGCTTTGAGCCGGACCTTGGGGAGAGCTTCTGCCTGATGGGGGCAGGGGGTGCTAATGGGGGCACTGCAAGAGGGCAGTAGGAGCTGCAGGAGCTTCTCTGTCAGGAAGCTATTGGGGACTTGGTTAATCCTGCCTTCCGAGTTGGAGCCCTTCATTCTCTCATCCTGCCTTCGCTGTGAAACCCTCCCCTTGCTCCTTTCCCTAATGTTGGATGTGGCCGGGAGCTTCCGCTCATGGAGATACACTCCTGACTTGAGGAAAGCTGGAAACTCTGCTTGCGGACCAGGGATGCTGCAGCTTCAAGGAAAGCAAAGTCCATGGCTGCACAGCCGCAGCCATGCAGGGCTGGCTCGTCCTCCTGCTAGGCAGAGTAGCAAATGTCTCGAGGTGGGGAGGGAGCCCCTGGGCAGCATTCAGGGTGGTTTGGGCAACGATACCCCCAGCCAGGTTACCTTGAGGAGGTGGAGGAATAGCTCAGGGGCCAGTGTTAGACCTGTCCTGGTTTTATGCCTGGTTTTATGCAGCTCTGACCACAGATGGAGAGCTGGATTCCGCTTGTATGCTGGTAGTGGGTTTATCTGCCAAGGTGGGCTCAGTCTGGCAGGTATTGGGTTCCTTCGCTGCCCTAGCAAGGGGAATCGGAGGAGCTGGTAGTTTGCCATGACAACGTGTTCCCAGGAAACCAGAGATGCCACAAACCCACAGGTGCAAATTGGGTGCTGTCAGCTTGAGGCTGCAGATCCACACCGGGACAGGGGAAGGACCTGGCCACCGAGCACAGCTCAGACCCGAGCACCTGCTCGGGCTTCAGCGAAGGTCACCAGGTGCCGTCCATGTCCCACGCCAGCCACCGAGGATCCTGAGCACTGCTGCAACGTGCACAGCAAATACCGACACGCAGGCTGGGAGCAGAGACCCAGCAGCTTGCGAGGACGTGACAGCCACTGACAAACTGCCAGAGAGCCGTGCCCAGGGTCACCTTGAGTTTGGCAGCTTAAGATAAGGCTGGAGATAGATAGCAGTGGAGATCACTCAGAAGAGGGAACAGTGAAAAATGATCTTGGCAAGACAGCAATGAAAGGAAAAATCCCAAGGAGAACTGGCAGGCCAAGGTTTGTGCCGATCTGTCAATGCAGTTCCTAGGCAAGATGGCTGCTAGCTGGCATCTTGACCGCAGAATCACTTGGCTGTTTTATTTTCCTGTGCAGGGACTTCAGCCAGCGCTGGGAGGACTTCTGACGGGGCAGGAAAACGGGGCTAGTTGTCCAAACCCAACCGTAGCGCTCTGCCTGAGGCTCAGTGGACAGGGGGATCTCCAGCCTTGGCAGTTTTCCAGGTGTTGGTGGGGAAAGCCATGGAATGCAAAGGGCGGGCTGGGAGATGCACATGTGCAGGTATCAGCCACCAGCGCTGGGAAGCCAGAAGGTCAATCCAGGACCGAGAGATTCCTGTTTAATTCATTCCTCAGGTAACAAAAATATGCTGTTCTCTTTAATAGTCCCAGCAATCCTGCCACAAATATGAAAGTGCCCCTTGAAACGTGAAATTTAGGCCCATGTGCTGGTTGCAGAGGGGGCTTGGTATCCAATCATCCCCAGACCCAACACTGCAAAACAATAAAGCAGAGAAAAAGGTTAATTGGGGAAAGCACCCAAACTGGAAAAGCCTTGGCTGGGATGGCTGGACTCATTCTGCTGTTCAGCAGTAGCAGGACACCTATACTGGCTTTGCGGTTCTGAATTCCGAAGTCAGCGTTAGCTGGTATCTTGAAGCAACGTTCGAATTTTGTCTGTCTCGCTCCTGACTCCCAGCTGATCCAAAAATCAGCTTGAGGTTAAGGCCGTGTTTCTCAACAAACTTATTTTCTTACTCATTTACATTCATGAATTAAACAGCATTTTACTTGTAAATTCCCAACAAACCCCTCTGTCCTCAAACAGTAAGTAATATTTTGGGAGCATTGGCGAAAGCAGTGTGTCCCTGCCGTTCACGCTGGTCTCAAAGGCGAGCCGGCGTTTTCCCTCCTGGCTTTGAGGCGCTCAGTTTGGAGTAGCCGTCGCAAAGGGACGTGATTTTTAGGAGCGCTGTGAATCGTCACAAACCCGGTGTCAGCACGGGTTCAAAACTTAGCCTGAAAGTCACGCCCCATCCTATGGCGTTATATCAAGAAGAGACGAGATTTAGAAACTCACTTGGGCAATTCCAGCAAATGCCTTTCAAATCTCGCTGCTGTGTTTGCTTTCAAATCAGCAGGACTCAATTTCTACCAAAAGGCTGGACTCGGACGCTGAGGGCTGTTGTGGCTGGGGGGTACGTGCTGTGCTCACCCCCACAGCTTTGCTCGCTGCTTGGGATTTGCTATGTGGTGTTTAGAGGCGATGGGGAAATGGCAGCAAACGTCCTCGTGGCTCTGCCGGTGAGTAACATTTGTGACAAGTCATTCTGGATTTTTGGGATCGAGATGAAGCCAGGCTTGTCTCAGAGGGACACAGGGAAGGGCAGGAGGCCATGGGTAGGGATGTGGGAAACGCTGGTTGGAGGTAAGGAAAAACGTCTTCCCCAGGAGGATGGTGCAGCCCTGGGACAGGGACTGGAGAGGTGGTGGCACCTCCATCCTTGGAGGTTTTCAGAAGGACAGGGCGAGGTCCGGAGCGACCTGCCCTAGCTTTGCAGCCAGACCTGCTCGGAGCAGGAGGTTGGACTGGAGACCTCCAGAGGTCCTCCCAACCTCACTTTTTCTGTGATGCAGTTGCTGGTAGCTACTCCACCTTGTGAAGCTCCCTGCAAAACAGCCGTCAGCTTGAGGAGGCGTGATGAGTAATGAAGTGGAGAAGACCAGCTACCAAGTGCTGGCTGGAGGGGAAGGGCCCTGTCT